CAATGATAGCAAAAGCAGAATATGTAAATGAGCAAGAGTAAAAAGAGCCAATGAAAAAAAAAAAAAACCAAACAAATGAAAAGAAAAACAGAATAAGTAATAATCTTGTTGCTCTATTTATCTGAGACTCTACCTGCTAGAAGAAAATTCAAATGATTACTGTACATTAGCAGCATGCAAGCATGCGATGGACGGACGACTAGGAAGAGAGAAGAAGCCCTTGGCCTCTTTATTCACTCAAGCCATTCAATCATCTCTTCTGACTCACGTTCCTTCCATTCAACAAATAAAAGTCGAAAGTCGAGTCGGAAGACAGTATATACTAGTTAAATTTATTTATTTATTTTGGTTGTAGATTTGGAGTAAATCTTCCTTAGATAATGGACCTTTATTTGAACAAAGTTGGTAGAGCTTCAACGTCAGAATAAGCACAAAATTGAACTACACTGCGGAACATTGGAAGCCTCGACAACTCAGAAAAAAATAGTGTTTTCGTCCATGAACGCGTTTCACTTTTTAGCTGAATAATTGAAGTAAGTTTAAGGACTACCGACTAAAAGAAGCGAATAATAGTAAAAAAAATAAATAAAAGCCTACTACAGGATTCTTGGATTGCCTGCTGTTTTGCATTAATTGATGCATTTCATTTGCGCGTGGGAACCACTTGATTCTAGTCGAAACGTCCTCGAAACCCAGCATTTTACTTCGATTGACCGTTTCACAGTTTCCATATTAGTGAGTGGGAAAGGTTAGTGAGCTGCGGGGAAAGAAGGACATGTACGAGTGGATACATGGTGGTTTGGAAAAAAATAATCAAGAACTAAAAACAACATTTCTTCGTTTTTGTTTTACTTCTGTTTTGGTTTCTATCGGTCTTAATTCTATTTTCCTTTATGTCGTTTGCCTTCATAAATATATCTTGCTCAAAATAACAGACAATTATTTACAAACACTAATTAACTGAAATTTACACTGCACTGACACAGACTTCCCACATCGCAAATTGCTGTGCAGTGTAACAATATTCTTCCATTCATTCCAGCAAGCTTCCTTCCCATGCATGTTTTTGCGTTCTGTACCGTAAAAGGGCAGGTAAGAAAGAAGTCATAGGTTGCTGCCATATTGACAAGGTTACTACTTCCGGTCGCTCATAATAACTTGCATTCTGGAGTCGCACGCATTGCAAGCTTCACTACGATGCTCTGTGTATGCATGGTTGTTGAAATGCGGCAGAACGAACCGTCGTCTCCAGCTTACTTTAACGAAACAAAATAAGTTGCGAACAAAGTTGAGAGTAAAATTAGCTTACATTTAAATACATTCATCACATCACACTATAAAAACAAAGAGAAAAGCAGCTTTGCTTTCACCAGTCATCAAGTGAGGTCAGCTCAGCTCAGACTACAATACAATTTAACTTACTCTTTCACCAGTTCTGGTTTTAGGCAGGTGCGCCATGTTCAGTATTGGATAGAGTTACTAGCTGTTTATATGTCATTCAAACTACAAAACAAATTAAAAATATACTGGAATAAAAACTAAGAACCTTATGACTATGTATGTATTCCCCGTAATATGGTTCTTGGTACTTGGCCTTTTTTATTTGGAATTTGTGTTTATTTAAAATTATATACTTAGTCAAACCATAAATCATATACGTTTGAGTATGGTTTTTACCTGAAAATACCTTTTGCAACCTCGTTTCACAATTAATTCCTGATAGGCGTTGGAATAAATTTACAGTTCAGTCTTGTTGTCAAAATCGCTATCAGCATTATATGCAAAAAACCGCTTCTTTGTAGATTGTATTCTCAATAAGTGTAGTTAGTTCAGGCATAAAATATCCTTGAGTGTAAATATCTTGAAGAATTACTATATAAATAGTCATTGTGTATATAAATTAAATAAAACTCATACAATTATACGGTCATACCTCCTTGCTTCGTTTCTTTTTTATTTTGCGCGATTTCTATGGTAGGCGACGACGGGATAATTAGGAATCTTAATTTTCATGCATGCTCCGCAGTAGTAAACAAAAGTAAGAAGAAGCCTTGCTTTTAGAAGCAGATTGTTGAAATTAACACTGCCGGCCTCGAAGATATGATGCGACAATTTGTGTTGGGAAAGCTTGTTTAGTTATCTTTACGCATTGTTGGATGAAAACGAAACTACACGTTTACTGACGTTAAAGAAACATTGTTGATTAACGGACTTTTCGTTAGCTGTTAGGAGACGTTTTTCCAGCAAAAATAGCGTTCATTTCTTCGATTAGAAGTTATTAGATTAATTAAACTAAGCTAGCCGGCTACCGGCCAAACTCTCAAATATCTAACATTTTTGCATTTATATGAGCTGCTCTTCTAGTAGTTCTTTTTAATTGCTCAATCGTACTTAGAAAATTTTTTTTGAACCTTGCTATTTTCTTTATTGTCGAAGATAAAGTATAAGTCAAATGACATGCATAGATGTTATGTTATAGTCCTATCTGCTTCCGAACAATTTATTACAACCTCTAGACGTCCATAGTGAGTCATCTTTTACGATCCCGTCTTTATTCACCAACAAAAAATACGAGTCCGTTGTTGACATGTTTTCCCAGGTCTTACTTAGTATGTAATGTTACTGAGTTCTAAGTTCTCTCAAATAACAACGAGAACTTGAATTCAAACACTGCATAAAGACGGCCGAAGATATAAGACGGATAATCTCTGGATAAGCACTCAGAAATAGCGTTTGTTCAACTTCTTTTAACTTTCTGTACATTTGAACATATGTAGCAGAATGCATGGTCTGAAAATGATTGCGATCAACTTTTAGAGCTCCATATCAGCTAATGAAATGTATTGGTGTCCTAAATTCGAGTTGTTCGTGGCAGATTTAACGCAATTTACATTTGCTAAATTTTCATGTTTATTGTTTTGTTTGGAAGGAGATTCGTTTTTTCTTGTGAAAGGAAAATCTAATATGAAAATTTTTTTTTGTTTTTGGTTACTGGGAAGGAGCAAGGAGCAAGGAAAAAGCATAAAAGATTAGCAATAGCGATCAGCACGTAGTCTAAGCTTTCTTCATGCATGGTCCCTCTCGCTCTACTGGGAAGCAAAAAAAAAAGCATCTTCATCCTCATATACGCTACACAAGCAGTGAAAATGTATGATGTACAATGTTCTTAGCTAAAAAAGTCAAGCTGCACTTATTTGAATCTTCACCGCACTTGAAAGACTATAAATGATTTTTTCCACTTTTAGTTCGTGAACAAGATTTAAATTACAAACTCAAAAACGTGCTGATGTCTCCATAACATCTGAAATCTTTTAAAGCAATTGCTCTAAGAAGCATAATAGCTAGCCTTCATGAACTATGAGTGAAAGAAGTAGGTACATCATCATCGCGTAAATTTGAGAAAATCGCGGATTGTATTTTATATTCTCAAGCAGTAGTACATCTCCCTTTCGCTGATGCGATTTTTCTATACATTTCTTTTGTAATTGGTAACCATTGAACTGCAGAACCATAGCGGCGTTTAGTAAATAAAGCGGTTTCTATAGTTCTTGCGGTTTTTACCTCGGATGTATTGATGTGTATTTAAAGAACGAACACATCGTAATTGGAAGGGTATTACTTAATTGTATAGATTGGAAGTCTGGAAAAAATACGAATACACTCATAGACAAAAAAAATAGTAGTTTTATCCTTACCAGAGGTAGTGGTATTGGTTATTTTAGAAAACATAATTGTCTAATGTCGCGGCGCTAGTACGTCTGATTGAAAATCCCCCACATGACTTAAAATGATCGATCAGTGATCGATGCTCGTGAGATGCTTCATTTGTTACATGCAAACTATATGATTGATATATATATTATGAATAATACAAACTGGAGAATAATTTGTCGATTGATCAGGCATAAATGCATTACTAATGCCGAACTGATGATAATTCCTTGATCGAATTATTAGTTTAAATTACCTTGGTAAGTTATGAATTTACATCTAAAGAAAGCATTAATTGAAGCTTCTTCATTTTAGTTTAAAGTTCTCTCAGTGCAGCCTTAAACAGCACCTGTATAAACAAGTAATACTGAGAGCAGTTATGTAGATGTATTAATGTAACTCAAATCCTGCCACGAACAACTCGAATTTGGTATAATACTATGTATAACTTGGTCAGTATACATCAAAATTTTAACCGTTCAACCTATATAATTATGTTACAATCCACTTGCAGTATTCTTCTTGTAATTTATAGCTAAATGATTCAAGGTCAATCATTTCTTAAAAACTAAGCTTCACATAGAACTACAACATAATGACTTCCGAGCGTAACGGAAAATTAATATATAGATCTGAAGAAAAATCAATACGTAGTCCAATCAAAAAATTGTACTAGACTATAATTTTTGCTTATTTAATATATCAAATATAAAAGCTTGCAATATAGAGTTTAATTAAGTTGCTTATTATGGACGGGTTTACGTATCTCGAAAGAAGAAAGAGCAAAATATATACAATACTCTATCGTTAAGCTTTTGCAACTGGAAAAGCTTCCATGTTCGTCTTTTAGGCGAGCTCAACCAAGTGCATACTAAAGATTCATCACTTATGACCAGCAGTAAAGTAAGCTATATATATATTTAAAATAAAAAAATTTTAATTAATTTTTTCTGAAGTAACAGCCGTGTCTCAGAAGTTATCGTAATATCCTTAAGCAGGTTTATCTTTTTCGGTACGTCTTTATGGCTATTACAATTTATATTTATCAACTAATCAGAAATCCGTCATGGTCCAGTGGCTAGGATTCATCGCTCTCACCGATGCGGCGGGGGTTCGATTCCCCCTGACGGAGAACTTCTTTTTGTAAAACTATTATATAATTCATTTTATTAAATTCGACTTGGTTTTATGAGACTCGTTGTTTATTGTCATAGTTACTGAAATTATAATCGGCTGTCATAAATAATAAACACTCTACTAAAAATATATGACTCGGTTATAACAGCGAGTCCCGGGTAGCTCAATCGGTTTAGAGCGTCTGACTCTTATGAAAAGGTCATCAGAAGGTTGCGAGTTCGAGTCTCGCCTTGGGAGTTCTTTTTGCTGTAGCTATCTTAGCTTTTTTCTATTTTCAAGCCATATGTAAGTAAGTGGAAGCAAATTATGAGTAATTAACTTTCCATGATCTTTTTGAGGAAAATTGAAAAAAACAAACTGAGGATGATTTCAAAAAAGGCCAACCAAGGTTTCGAGTTGGTAAAAATGAAAAAATGTAATTGACCCCGCCAGGAGTCGAACCTGGAATCTCCTGATCCGTAGTCAGGCGCCTTAACCATTGGGCCACGAGGCCTTGTTAATTACAGATGCTTCTTTGTAGTTATACACATTTCTTCGAAAGAGTAATTAACAGTAAATAGTTAGGACTAAGTAATTATGGATTGATACCTATTGTAATGTTAGTAAATAGTTGTTTTGCCCTTTTTTAAGCTTCGCTTCTCTATATAATAACTATATTTCCATTTATGCAATAATTATATGCATTTTGTTTTTTTCAAAACATGAATTGCTTTCCTTTCCTGCTTTCTTAATGTATATATAATGGATAATTATCTTAATAAAAGGCCGTTTTGACATTGTTTAAACGACTCTGTTGGTGATCAGTGATACTAATGGTTCATGTAAACTTTATTATATTTTTTCGTTCTCTTTCTTTCGCTATTTTTCATTTTCGTTTCTATTTGTTTGATTTTAATGACAAGCCTGTGGAATTTTGGTATGCGTGTGCCGACGTACGTACAAAACCAGTAACCAGCAAGGTAATAGGTGCGTAGATTACAAAGCGAACAGAACGTTTATAAAAGAGCACTTACAACAAGTGGTCGCATGATGTAGTTGGTTATCATGTCGATCTAATAAGTCGAATGTCGCCAGTTCGAGCCTGGCTGTGACCATTGTTTTTTTCTTTTTCTTTTTCTTTTTTTTCCTCTTTCTATTTTTCTATCTTACATTTACCTTTAATCACTCTCTTTTTGTTTTCTTTTCTTTTTTTCTCGTAATGAAATACCTATCTATTTGTATATTTTATCGCAGAGTTGAATGACCACTGTGCGAAACAAAACAAAACAAAACAAAACAAAACTAGATGAAATCATAGTAAACTAAGCTAAATAGTAAAGCAAATTAGAACAACATTGAATAAAGATAAAAAAAAAGAATTTAATTCAAGTAAAAAGCAAAAGGAAATTTGAAAAAGGATGAACAGGGAAAAAATTGGACAAGCCAGAACTCGAATCTGGGACCTCTTCCATGCTAAGGAAGCGTGATAACCATCTACACCACATGCCCGGTTTTTAGGTGAAATCACCGCTATTACTTTACTAATTTAAACAGTAATATAGCGGTAAGATTGTTTCAAACGCTGTTAGATTGCCGCTATAAATAGGGTTTAATACTTAAAGCATTTCAAAGAATGCCCCTTTATTACATGTTTTTATTGAATTTTATCTCAAATGGAAATTTCTAACATTTTCGACTGTGCGATGTTTTTCGTCTTAGGTTGATCTAACTAAGTGCGTAATAAATAATTAGATGAAGTTACGGGTTATAATATGATACGTTTTATCTAATATCCGCTATTGGAAATCATCATACTTGTATCCACATCTAGCTTTGGGAAACCAAGTTAACCTTGTTGTAAGGTATGGAGATGGACCTCCTATCTCCTTTTCAAGAGTTTCAAAGTTTCAATTTTTTATTTTCTATTTTCTATTTTCTATTTAAACCCCTCTAATTAACGAATAAGCCTACCAAGGTATAGTCTTCCATAACTCAGAGATCGGTTAATCGTTGCTGTAGCAAAGTGAATTTACCATAAAACGGTACAGCTCATAAAAGGGTTTTCAGGCAATATTTTCAAAAATATACACGTCAAAAATAATAATTCGAGTATTAAACCATCAATGCAAGAAAAGTTAAAGCAAAGTCTAGACTACGTACGATCCTCTACAAATCGTTATATGAATTGCATTCATTCATGTAAAGACCAAACATTTGGTGAAACAAAAGGGTTATTAGTCTCTTACAACTACCTGCTTCATCTTTGATGAGAAAGCATATTGGTCTTTCGTCGTTAATTTTTTGTTTGACAAGAGACAAGAGTTAAATATCCACTATACATATTTTTTATTACAGGAAAGTGTCTACGGCCATACCTAGGCGAAAACACCAGTTCCCGTCCGATCACTGCAGTTAAGCGTCTGAGGGCCTCGTTAGTACTATGGTTGGAGACAACATGGGAATCCGGGGTGCTGTAGGCTCCTCTTTATTTTTTCATTTTCACTGTCTATTCTTTATTTATTTCTTTTTTTTACGAAATTACTATTGTCATTCCTACTTATTTTATGTTCTTTTAATTATGTATGCATACTCTGCAAGCATCACCACGCCAGCCAATCAAGAGCATAGATAGTCATGGTCGAGTTATATACTGCTGCTTGCTTACCTTAATGCAGTGAAAAAGCGATCCAATACATAACATACTAATACTTATACAGAAACAGAAACAGAAACAAGGAATCAAACATAACGGAAACTAAATAAGAATCGCAAAGGCCCAATTCGTCATAAGCAATGCTTTTTTCGCAAAACAACCAATCCCGATGCTTTGAACACCCTCTCTCTAGACCCTGGTTTCTGTTGTGTTTCTCAAGAGCATAGCATTTAGAGGAGGGAGGATTGTTTCAAATCATTACCATTGACAAATGTTGAAAGTAAGACCACCAACACCCAGAGTATTCAAACCTTTCCCTTCGAATCTATTAAAGCCAAATCATTGATCATTCTAAGAAGAACATATACTAATTAAACCCCGTGTATATATCATTTGCAGTATACGTTTTTTTGTTCTTTTTTTTTTGTTGCTAAACGATCATTTGTGCGCTTACTTTTGGTAATAAACAACCTTTTGGACTATCATAATACAGTCTATCTATCACCCGAAAGCTAGCGTTCAAAATCGTAACGAAGATGTAACGAGTGGGTGACATAATCTCGCAGTTTATGACATGACATTTAGACATGCGAAATACCATCACCGTGAGTTTGCATCTACGCTGTATTTTTAAGAGGAGTTTTCCATTAAAAACGAAAACACAGTGAATTGAAAGCTGTAAATAAGTTTCAATCCTTTTTTGAGTGATCCGCGCGGATTGTGAAAGTAGTACTTGAGGACTTTGTTGGGTGATTCCTGAGACACGAACTGGCTGTAAATATCTGAGTATTTTTGTATTTTAATTTGCCATTGTAAATGAAAGAAAAATACAACTACAACTACAACTACAACTACAACTACAACTACAACTATACATCAGAGTTTCAGATAACTACAACTACATCAGAGTTTCAGAGTTTCATTTCAGATTCAGGTGACTTCCAAGCTAAAAGTCGTTCAGTTGATTGTTTAGATGGTATTGATACGCTTCTTCCAAACGCGAAAAACACTTCTTATTTCGCTAAAAGGATTGCCAAATATTTCAATTATGTACATAATGTCTGCAACTCGTTATAAACAAACCAGTATTCAGCCTAAGAAGAATTCGATAATAATACTATACTAGACCCCACTGAAAAGGACATGTTGAAAAAATACATGTCTGTAAATGAATAGCAGCGACTATTCTACATATTCCATAAGCAAATTGTTTTTCTTATCCTAGTCTTTGGTCTCAAAATTTCTTCCCGATACGAAAGTTTTTTACTTACTTACTTACTTACCGGCTGTATTGTATTCATTTTTGATTTTTGTGATTGGTGAATTCTAACTGTTCTAGTGTAATCGAAGCCCGCTAATCATTGAATGAAACATGTGAAAAAACTATATGAATTATATTTTAGGCAACTACACTTCGTAAGTGCTTCTTCACATAGCAAATGACTAGAAGAGACGAAGCACGAGTCATACACTAAAAGATGCGACGACTAGTATACTTTCATAACCAAAAATATAGTACATTTTGACAGCCAAATTATTGTACGTTTGAAATATTCAAGTAGAAAGCAAAGTTATTTATAAATACAACTTTATGGACCCATAAAATTCGTACATTCAGTCTTTATATACCTGGGCGACAGCAGCCTAACACAATGTGGTTCGAAAAAAAAAAAGAGAAAGCAACGTGGTTTTATGTCTATAATATTCAACCACCCTCCATGGGCGTGTAAAATTACCAAAGATAGAAGTGAGTCGAATTGGACCTCGTAGTTCCGTAGGTCCGTAGTTCATGAAGCCAAATAGAAACTGAACCAGTCAATACAAAGTACTTTAGACGAGTACCAGTCGAGTACAGATACAGATACAGATACAAGTATAAGTACAAGTACAAGTAAGCTAAATTAAGGAGGAAAGTGTCTACGGCCATACCTAGGCGAAAACACCAGTTCCCGTCCGATCACTGCAGTTAAGCGTCTGAGGGCCTCGTTAGTACTAGGCTCCTCTTTAACATGGGTTTCACTGTCTATTATTATTTATTTCTTTATTTATTTTTTTTGTTTTACGTTCCTTTTTCTTTGTTTTGTTTTGTCTTACCTTTTCTTTCGTTTAGTATTTAGTATATTGTCTCTTACTTCTTCCCCTATTCAAACAACTGTCCTCCATTTGGGGATACTGAGACTCATTCCCAGTCGTCATCAGTGTACGTAAGTAAACATCGCCCTTCGCGAGTCTATTACTGTAAATAACCATATACGTAAATTTTTCGATACTACTTGAAAAATATGAAAAATATGAAAAACAGACAAGAATTATAAAAAGATTTGCATACACAACCACCTATGAATGATAGAAATAGTTGAATCAAGGGTGTCTCTTTGCGGCGGAGGCGGAAACAAGTGAGTCTTTTTGCGGATGCAGTATTTCGTTTTGCTGTATGTCATTCAAAATGTTCACATCTCTTTTTCTTCTCTTGAAATCAGAAGTTTGCCTGGATGTTGCCTGGATGACGATACTATATCCACTTCTTACATCAAGGAAATAGCTAATGTTGGGTCATAATCGTATAATCGGCACAGCAATCACAACAATTGGGTTTCATAACCCAAAGACCATAGGATCAGATGGTTAAAATGTATTTGCTTCCTTGGTGCGTATGAAAACGTGACAACTTTTATAAATTTACGATACGATATACTAAGATTTATGTTCTTGCGTTCGCTATTACAAAATAATGGATGGTACTAATAAATAATAGAAGTCACTCAAACTAATGCATATGCTGAGAACGGTTTTTTGAACGTAATTCTCCAACAACCTTGGTATACTAAATAAATTGTGTGTCCCTTTACATCAAAGGAAATTATGCAGGTAGAGGGAGAGTTGTTATTGTATTTACATGCCGCTTCATACACAAAGATAGATGCAGAGGAAATGCTTTGAATCTAAAACTACGAGAAGCGATCTTAGAAATTTGTTCTATATCGCAGAGAGAGAAAGAAATTCTGAACTTCTCTCTCTTTTTTTTTTTTATTTACAGGATGATACACTTTGCTGTCCTTTCTTTCCTAACCATGATTCAATTGGAAGAAAAAAAAGACCAAAAACCCCAAAAAGAAAATCTGAATCGTCACTGCACCATATCGTTTTGAGAACCTTTTCTGTATGTTCTTCGTTAATCACTTATTATCCTTTAACTTGCAGCTATTCTAAGTATGAAAAGTATTTGCAAAGAAGTAAAGTGTTGATTCTTGATTTTGATATAAGTTGCTGCCTGAAATCGCGCCATTTACCTGGGAACTGTCCGTCCATGATGATAATGACTAAATTTTAGATCAGAAATCCAGTTGGGAGAAACAAGCGTGTATATTCCTTTCCCATTACCCATATGATACTGTGTATGTTAGGTTCACTAATAAACGTTTACATACATTACCAATGACTATACTTTAACAGCAGCCACCTAGCTGGAAGCTTTGCATTATTGAAGTCGAGGGCATGATATTTTAAGACTTACGGTAACTCGAACAGGCAAGTTATATAGACAGCTCACTGTAAGTTAGATAGAAGAATGCATCGAACGTATTAACATTATGCAATTCAATGTATGTAAGACATTGTTAAATAACAGTACGCGCTATACGTGTTTCCGATATTCATAGTGATTCTGGGCGAGTTTGCAATTATCGTAATGGGTACAACCGTTTATGACTCTATAGAAAAGTATTTACTTTGATATTTCAAAATGGTAGGCGACAATATAGAATGAAGTGGCATAGCACTCGAATCGTAATTAGCACCATCTTGAGGAACCAACCGCGGAATTATGACTTATCAGAGTAAATGATTTGCACTAAATGAAGTTTACTAGTCTTTAGCAAAGCTACATACGCTCACGAGTGCCTTAACTGCAACTAACAGTATATAAATGTAAGAAAGCTAGTGTTAATAATATAAACCTTTCATTCGTTATCTTATAATTTGTTAATTGTATATCTTCTACGTATACGTATATCCATATATTTAAACAGTTTAACCACGATTCAATATCTTGACAATACAAAATGGTTCCGTTGAATCTACGATACTTATTTCTGGAAGTAATCAAAAATGACAAAAGCAAATATAGTGATATGATTCAGAGAAGTGTGTATTGGTTTGCTAAGGAATTGTTAACGTTCCGCTTTTCTCATACAGAAATCCCACAGCCACAACCTCCAGTTATAAGGTCTCAACGAGCAATTGAAGGATAAATCTAGAGTGACTAGAAACAGAAACAACTTTGTTTCTATACTCAATGATTTCAATTAATAGTGAACATTAAGATGCTGTAAAGTTTTTAGAAAATCATCCTTCATATTTTTATATATAGGCATCCTTACGATTATCGATTATTTAGAACGTTTTCTGGATTTTATAACGATACCATGATAGCTTTCGTATTCTATTTGGTTTCATTATTAATATATTAAATATCGACCTCCTAGAGCAGTTCAACTTCATAACACTTAAAATAATACCGCTCGTAACAATAGTCAGTTAAAAGATAATGTCAAAGTAACAGTTTCCAGAGATCTGATTCACTGAAGACCTAACGCAGACTGTATTTGGCTAGACCAGTCAAATCTTCCAGCCTGAAGATTTGATTAATGGAATTTGGTATATTTATAATTGGCAAAGACTTTTTTCCGAACTATGTTCGTTGGTTAGCAGCGTTAGCAGTTTCTTCGTTTGGGAATTGCAATAGCGAAGCCTTATTGTTATATTATAATCGTATGTAGTAATCAGTAGTATCGTATGCCCATTATCCCAACAACATACTTATTGTTATTAATATGCAATATGGTAAATGGGGCGGTTATAACAGTATTTGACGAAAAAAATGTCTATTATTATACATCAACGAAGGCCGTGTGGTTTAGATGGTTATAATTTCTGCTTAACATTTGATGTTCGCAGACGGTCCCAAGTTCGAGTCTTGGCACGGTCATAGCCTTCAATTTTTCAATTTTTTCATTTTTTTCATTTCTTCAGAGTTTCTTTTTCTTTCTTTTCAGATCTTTTATATAAGAATAATACACACTTGATTTTCGCTGCCTTGTTTGCGGTTGCTGAACGGCATGGTCTGCATCTGTCACCCGTCACACCATGATTTCTTTGCAACTGACGAAGGAAATATCGCTATGGATGCAGACACTAACTGTAGAATTAAAGAAACAATATAAACAAGAAAACACAAGGAAGAAGAAAAATTGAAAAAGGGAAAAGGAAAAATGAAAAATGAAAAACAGAAAATTACTCTCCCTCCGGGATTCGAACCCGGGCTGCCAGCGTGACAGGCTGGTGTACTACCCCTATACTAAGGAAGATTCATATTAGTTCCACGCTAAAAGCTTTTTCAAAAACATGTAGTCTTTGGCCTTTCCTTGTTTTCGCATAGTTGCACAATGCTGTCTATGACTTACAATCAATGGGTTTACGACGAGTACGAGTATGATGTATTAATCATTTCTTGTTTATCTTAACGTTCAACCTTGACGAGAATTTTCCATCTTCCAAATAATAACAGCAAAATCTGATTATTTAAAAATTTCTACCGAGTACCATGTAGCAGCATTCTTCACTGAAATGCATTTCTAAGGAAACAACCATAATGAATTAGTAAATAATAATTACGCCGCTCCTTATTTTTTTCATTCGATTTCCTCTTTCCTTTGCAGTCTTTCGTTTTCATGTTTTCCGGTGAATATAGTTTTTATTTGGAAAATGATGTATCATCCTTTTATATAATGAGTAAGAATTTTTTTTCATCAACGGCATAGTACGATTGGAACGAAGGATATTATGAGCTGCTTTTGATAAACCTAAAATGTACACATTAGCGGTGACCTTAAGTGGCTATAGTAGGTTCATTATGTTAATAGTAAGAAAAGTTGATCTTAGGGAACCAAATAAGAGTTGAACAACGCATTAATCAGATACTTCTAGCTTGCTTCTGCTCATTTCTTACTGCAGATCAAAATGAAATAACGGTATTGTTAAGTAATAAATGTTCGTCTCCACGTCTTATACTAAGCGACTTCTTAAATATGACGTAACAATGAAATACATAATCAAGTCAAGTGGTCCTTTCATTTGAAACTTTTTGAATCTATTTAAAGTCCACCAGTGTTAATCACATGTAGTCTCATCTTTAAACTCAAAAGCTTACTTGTCCTTCAATAAAGCGACATTTACCCCCACTAATTCGTGAACGAGAACAATAATACCGTCTATAGCCAAATTATGTCGGTTAGCATATAATATTTTTGTCTATAACTTTGCTTTAAACAATTCTTTACACAGCAATAACCAAGTTTTACGTTGTAAGTACAACGTGAGTTGGTATATATATTTTTTTTAATGGCTTCTCAAAAAAACTTTCCTTTCCTTACAATTTGTAATAAACGGCTCTTTTGTATAGTCATCTAGTATAGAGTCTTGACAGCTTTCAGCTCAAGCGTGTGACTCCTTCAATTGAAAAGTCGCGATCGTAACTGAACTTTACAATATGTTATGCACTGAATGTATAGACAATGATAGAGGTTTGATTTTTGTAAATAAATATTACTAAACCATCTGAATGTTATCATACATCATATTTGTAGCAACATCTGAACGAATGGGTGCTGCTGTTCGGAAATGTGAACGGTAGTTAGATGGCAGTCTGTTACTAGAGATAATAAACTAAAGCTTTTCTCAAGTTACCAGGATTTTTATATTATAAAAAAGTTAGAAATATGAACTCTAGTTTGTTTAAATTATCGGAAAATCTTGGTTTATTAGAAGGAGGTTTCTCTGTGGGTAAATAGATTATCTCAATGACGGATGGGAGGCTTTGCATTCATAGTATTTAGCATGCCGCTTGCTTAGTAAATGTATTTTTGAACGAAATTTTATAGGCTATACATCGCTTGCAAGATGATGAAATCCCCATATCGCGTAAACAGTGTAACAGTATATCGCACTCTGTTAACGAAGCCATAACTTGATG